AATAATAATAATAATAATAATAATAATAATAATAATAATAATAATAATAATAATAATAATTATCAATTAATAATATAATAATAATAAAATAATAAAATATTAATAATAATAATAATAATAATAAAATAATAATAAAATAATATCATAGTACCAATAATATTAATTTATTTTCCTATTATCTTAATCGAACGATTACGTAATAATTAATATCTAACACTAAGCCTTCCTAACAGCAATTGTTTTGCTAACTTTTTACAAGACTTTTGGTTTCCATCTTCGTTTCCTTCTCATTCGTATATTAAGTTTCTACTTAAAATTCTAACGAACCGAGTTCACCTCATCTACAAGGCCTCGAAGGGTTTAGGACTAGACAGCCTCATTCATCATAGCCTGATCTTCCGTCTCCCTTCTTTCTTTCTAGTTTCATCTCTTTTCAGTTTCAGTGTAACATCATCGTCTCGCCTCCTTTTTTTTTAGTTTCACCCCTGTATACGCGTTAGCGAAATAGTTTCGCGCTAACGAATCACTGACTAGTTTTTAACCGTTAAAATTATTCGGTCATGCTAATTAAGGCACCTGATCACTTTAAGATTGGACGAACGAATTCTTTGCATCGTGCAATTCTCTTCTTACACTACTATACGTGTGGATTAATTAATTATTCAAAATGATCCGTATTTAGAATACATTAACAACGTGTAACAATTGTAATTGGAACTTTTCGTTGGAGAAAGATAAAATTATAGGTTATGAGATACTACTCGCTATGCAATAATGCAATAATTATGAATGAAATAGCGTTATAAATTGATTAATATATCTATCCTTTCTTATTTACAAGTTTTAACGACTTTTATATATATATATATGAAGAAACAACTATTATAATTTTTCATTAACAAAATTTTGCTGCTTTTACAAAAATCTTTTTGTAAATATTATTACGAGGTTCAAATTTCTTTTGATTATCGATTCGTTCGTCCGTTGGTCCTCAGTGTTCATTTAAATAACATCTATAAATCATACAAAAAAGGCATCATCCTTAAGACACTTGGTGATTTCGCTGACACGCGATTCTAAGGCAACGTCGGCTTAATCGTAACGCATTCGCGTTATTTACAATATCGTAATATATTTTCGAAAAATTATTTAGCAGCAATTAAAAGATATATTCAAGTCAAAAATCAAATCCACGAAACTAAAAATATTTTTTCAAAGTTTTTTTTTTTTTTCGTTACGTTGAATAAATTAGAAGTCAAAGAAATTAAGAAATCTATTATAATAATAAAAAAAAATAAAAGAATTTTTAAATAAATTACATTCTTCGCGATAAAATTGTTATCAAAACAAGTAAGAAAGCATTTTTCTATTTAATAAATTATCAATTATTTTAAAGCTTCGTGGAAATTTTATCTTTGAATTATTAACATACGTGTCAACTATAGAAAGAACATTTCTTATATGTAAAATGGAAAACGTATATCTCGGCGAATTGAATCTAACAAGCTATACACTTAAATTTAAGAAATAGTCTTCGACCAATATTCAGAAATGATATCTGTAAAAGCATCAAAATTAAGTTTCAATATTCTGTAAAAAAAAAAAAAAAAAAAAAAAAAAAAAAAAAAAAAAAAAAAAAAAAATAAAAAAAAAAAAAAAATTTTTAATTTTTTAAAAAAAAAAAAAAAAAAAAAAAAAAAAAAAAAAAAAAAAAAAAAAAAAAATTGCAATGATAATAACGATTTATGAAAAACTAAAAATTATTCGATAGTGGAAGAGATATATTACCTTCCAAAACTTATTGCCGATATATGCCAATAATCAACAATTACTTTCTCGTAAAAATACACACGTTTTAAGCAATATCAATTCTGAATACGGATCAGTCTTTCGATTCCACCTAATGTAGCGAGTAATTCACTTCGTTCGAACGTATCTTAAATGATACATTACAAATTTCATCGTTATTAATCATGCGCGATCGATGCGATAATAAGTAAATGTACAAAGAATCCGACGTTTCTAAATCGTTCTATTGAAAGCCTCTATTGCCCGTCGTGCTCCATCGGTTATAAATAATCGTAAACGCTAACGACAATTATTTTACGTATTCGTCATGTATACTTCGAAGATATATTGGCCGAGCGTGCCAAGTTTGGCCCTATAAAGGAGAACGTGGAAAGGAAGAATTAAAGTGGGGAAGATTAAAGGTTAAGTTAGGTTAAGAAATGATCGAACCATCGATCCTGAGTGGGGCCGTATCCAACGAAGCTTCCTCGTTTTCTCTGTCTCTCGGTCGGTACGTCGTTTCCAAAATTAAACTCGTGAGAACGGTGAGCTGGCTACAGCTACGAAAACGTTTGAGACAATGGCTTCTTCTCTCGTGCGGAATGGAATCGCGCCGACTAGTAACTCTGCCCCCTCTCGGAGAAAGGAAGAAGCTTTGGAAAAGAAAAGAATCGACGCGAAGAGACAGGCGAAGACCAAACACGTATATATACGGCGGCGAGGATTAAGTTTTGCGTATTCTTTTTTCTTTCTTTTTTCTTTTTTCTTTTTTCTTTTTTTTTTTTTTTAACGTTGGCGGAACAATTGGTGTGCACCGAACCTCCACCTCGCGGCAATTCATTCAACTTCTATTGCAATCTTGCTTCCTGAGGCGTCGTTTGATACGGTAGTCCTGGGAAGGCTGCGCCCGCCGCTNNNCAGCTGCAGCCGCTGCTGCTGGTAATCCTGCCGCTGCACCTGGTAGCGTTGCATACGTGTATGGTGTCACGTAACTCGCTGCCGCTGCATTCGCTGTAAAAAGAAAGAAAAGGAAAAAGGTAAACCGCTTTCTAAGCTTCTGTGTATTTTGCCGATCTTAGAGCGGATAATCCTTCGAAGAATACAAAATAAATTGCGAATAATATTGTGCACAAAGAGAGTCAAAAGTAAGTTAGAATTTCGTATCTATATCGACGTTGAATAGATCTTTTTTTTTTCTTTTTTGTTTTTTCTGTAAACTGACTTTTGACTCGGATTATGTGTGAAAATTTTTGAATGTTTTTTTTTCTTCTTCTTTTTTCGAATATTTGACAAAGCATTTTTAATTCTTTGCCAAGACACTATATAATAAAAGCTTACTGACTACTCTGTCATCCATTGTGACATTTTTCCCACCACCACCGTAGACAGCACATCAGAGCATCAACAAAATTTGCATGTCGATCGTGTTGAATGCGAAGCCAGCTTAAGCATGCAATATTGCATTTCCATTTTTTTTTTTTTATATGTGTGTGTCTGTTATACAGAGAGCAGAACATTCCAGCGTAAATTAAGGAAATTTTTATTCAAGCAATTCTCGTGTGTGATCATACTCCTGAGAACGTACGAATAGCATAAAAGTAATTGCAGATAATAATGAAAATAATAAAAAAAGAAGGGAAAAATGTTCAGCTGATGATATAAATATTTTGAAATGAAGATTGTAGAAAGTTCTCCTGTTAAATGCAAAATCTATTGTTTTTTGATAAACTGCGTGACCAAAATGAAACGTAAAAAAACTACGAGACATACGCTAACGTGAAGAAGCGATAGTGAAATAAATAAGAAAGTATTCTCAGCAAGATTCCCATTTACTTTGTGCTATGAAAAAAAAAAAAATATCAATTTCTTTTAAGATTCGTGTTAAAATTCGTTCTCAGTGGAAAAAAAATAAATAGATATAAAATAAAATAAAATAAAATCAATCAATAAACGAAAATACGTGAAAAGCTTTTGAAAAAAGAATTTGAAATGATAAAAAAAAATAAATAAATAAATAAATAAATCTGACAAAAATTATCGAAACGTGCAATCTTTCATATATATATATATTGTTAATCTTTGCTAATACTACCTTGTTACGCAAACTTTATCAAATGTATTCTAGCTTCCATGAAACATGCATTCCTCTAACAACTTAAAAAAACATTGAAATTGAAAAACTATCAATATCGACGCACATGCGTTCGTAAAATGATTACGTAATATTTTACCTTCAAAGTTACATATTAAAATGGAATAATCGTACAAATCGTCAAATCAATATTTAAATCGGAAAATTTTCAAAAAAAAAAAAAGAGCGTGAAAAAAATATACATTGAAAAAGAAAAAAAAAAAATATAGAAAAAATAGCTTTACATATTCCTTTCACGAATAAGCTAGACAACAATCAATTTGGAAAATTTGTTGGGAATCTTGC